GGGGCTGCCGTAGCCTGCACCACCATAGCCAGAATAGCCGCCGTATCCACCGTAACCACCAACATAGCGCTTCTCTTGCTTCTTCTCCTGCAGCGGGGCATAGCTGCTGGCCGCGCTCACTTGATCCTGATCGGCCAGAGGGGCATCCACAGCAGGCTCTAGCGCCGCCGTGTCCTCGGCCCAGACCGAGCTCAGCATCAAGCTGACAGCTACCAGAACGAGCTGCAAATCAATCACAATCACAGAGGCTTATTAGATCCCATAGGTAAGGTAATCATAGTTAGCTCCTGGCTTACAAAGCACTTCATGATGGGGTCGCCTGTGGGGGGAACTTGGTCACTACTGGAACTGTCTTAGCTGGAACTCTGGATACTGCGCACGCGCCACTTGACACTTGTCTAATGATCGGACTGCCGGCCCAGCACTCGCTTTTATACACAACGGAATAGGCCATAAGCTCTCTCTCTCTCTCTCTCTCTCTGTTGCCAGTTTAAGTTTTGGTGGAGTGTTGAGAGAGATCTGTAATGTTGGAGCTGATCGAACTCTCTTGCTCAGTGGAATGACTCAAAGTGCGAAGTGAATGAGATATCCATTGACACAGAGTTTCCTTATTCCTTACTCATAGATTTATCCCATCCTAGAAGCAATACTAAGGTAAGCTACGGGTCGACTTCTCAGTACTCCCATGGACCCCCCTCGCAACAATTGATCTACATATGATAGACTCTGTGTGTTGCGGCTAGGAGGGCGGCGTTGCACCATCATTATCAATATTCCCACGATCTGGGTATCAATTATAGCCCCCCACCCGCACTTCAAACGGCAAGCGGCCACAACAATGATGACAAATGCTAATTGAATCATTAACTTGACCCTGTGCCAACTAATTGCCCAACATAAAACATACACAAAATACTCGTAGTCGTGGCAAAAACAGCAAAACAAAAACAAAAATCAAACCGCAACAAAATGAATCAGGCCAAAAACAACCGAACGTAGTCCAAGTGCCTAACCGATCGTCATCTACCCGTACAAATCTAGATCTAGATCTATTGCAGTGCAGTTCCCTCCGATGTAGTGATTTAGTTGGATAAAATATAGTGGGACAAGTGCTCGTACCTTGGGACGTGAGTCATTGAGAGTGGATCAAATCGCACTTGGGGCTGAATTGGGTCTGGATTCGGGGTAGGGGATTTTCACTTTTCAGGGCTTTGTTTAGCCAGACTTGAATCCCGGGTATCTAGTCATCAGAGTGCTGCAAAACTACTTGCCAGAAAAGAGAAACCGAAGCCAAGCGGATCTGTGGCAACAAAGGAGTTAATTGTTAACAACTATTCGAGGGCAGTTAGAGGCCTGCCCAAAGAGTAAGTGTCTCCCCCCTCATTTTGGGGGTCTCCATGGGTGATTCATTTTGCAAATGTAACGGTCTGGAATCATAAAAATATATGGAAATGGAGATGGGCATGGACAGAGAAAAAGTGGAAGGCTGCAAATACCCTTGTGAAGATTATTACATCATCTAAGACACAGTTAAAAAACGCCGAGAACTTTCAGCATGTAGACAAAAGAATGCTTAATTAGATCTAAATGGATCCAACTCCTAGCCATACAACTTTTTATTCCTTCAAAGACTTTAAAGTACCAGTTCACCAGGCATTGGTCGACATCCACAGTTGACTTTAACAAAAAGGGTTTCCAAAAGAAATACTTTGATTCTACCCGCAAATAGAACAATCTCTCCCCCACTTAAGTTATAGATACAGATACAGATACAGATACGTGTATCAATGGCGATAGTTATCATCCATAGATACATGTCAGAGTCAGAGTTGTGGCTGTCGATCTCGATGTGGCTGGGGCTGGGTTTGTCGCTTCCTCTCCCCGTACATGAGTGGAGCAACATTGTTCTTCATGCCGGGCATGTGAAAAGTGTTAACCAAGTAACTGGGAGCCCCGACTCTCAGGCGATGACTCCACTTGGCCATGGCTATATGTGTACATGGGCCTGAGAGTTTTTGGCTCCAACTCTGCGACAGCGACTGCCACTGAGACAATGATTCTTTAATGCCGAGGCCTAAAAGCTTTTTAGACACCAGAGCCAAGAGCCAAGAACCACCAAAGCAGAGCCAAGGCATAACTTCACAGAGCACAGGCAGCGTATACGCAATGCTCATGGATATGGAGGAGTCTAGCATCGAGCTGGAAAACCTGAGGGGGCGTAAACATATTTCGATGTTCTAATTTACAAAACCAAATCACGCTCAACAGCAACAGTAACAGCCACAGCAATGTTGCATCATTGCACGCCCCTCAATTATATTTACAAATAGATTTAATTATAATTGAACACAGAAAGTGCTCGCAAGACGAGAGGAGCACCGCAGGCAGGCAGGCCAAATGAAGCAGAAAATTATGGTGATGATCATGGGGCGTGGGTTTGAGCTTGGGTTTGGGCTTTGGCTTGGGTTTGGGTTTGGTGGGAGGTACAGGTACTCGCACTTGTACAGCAAAATCTCGTGTCTCAAGGGGGAACAATGACAACGGCAACGACCAGCAAAGCAAAACAAAACAAAATGAAATGAAACCATGGCCTTTTCCGTTGAACTTGCACTTTGCATAATTGCATATCTACTGGCAAGACCATTGGCCAAGACCAAGAATACTTCACACGATTATCCATGTACATCGTGTGAACCCCTGCAATGGCACAAGACCAAGTGTAAGCCCAGGGCTTACTAAAGATCCCTCACGCACATGATGACCCTGGCATTAGAAGCTGCCAGAAGCTGATGGAAAAGGAGAGTGCTTAAATATGAAGATGATAATATAAAGATGATGTCTAGAGGTTGCCTAAAAGATGGAGAGAAAAGACATCGGAAGGACACACTGAATGCAAAGGCAAGGTACATGATTTACAGGAGATGGTCGATTTGTTGCCTACATCAGAGAGCGGAAGAAACGAAAATCTTTATGATGGTAATGATCCTCTTACAGGTGATAAATGAATCAACGTCGCATTGGATGTGACACGACTTTGAGTCACTCAATTTGTTGTCTAATGATGAGCTCCCATCCATTCAGTAGGCAAGACGCCGATAGAAAGCAAAAACAATGAATAATTTAAGCCTGTTGGTAGCTGGTGGGTCATAAATTGTGGGTCGGACAATGACTGGGTCGCACTTGGAACACTCACACAGCAGGAAATATCCATTGTTCACCACCCGCCCGAAAAATGAAGAGTTTTGTATTTGATTTGATTGCTGTAAAAAATATACGTACACACAAATATATATATATGGGACACTGACTGTCGCTTCCGCTATATATACATATGTATGCATTCATGTATATGTCAATTTTATTAAGTCTTCTTCAAAAGTTATTTTGCCCAGAATCAGGTTCAGGCTTCAGGGCTTCCCATTCGATGGAGCCGGGCTACGGCCAATCGCCCTGCCCCATCTCTCTTCTAACTATTTAGTGTGTGATTTGTTTGCCTCTCTTTAGATCTTTTCACTTCATTGATTCATTGTTTGTTTTTAGTTTCGTTTCGCTTTTCTTTTTCTTTTCTTTCTTTTTTTTCTTGTTCAATTTGTACAGAGGTTTGTGCTGAAAGAAAATTAATTTACGGTTTCATATATTCGATATTAATCCTTTGAGTAAAATTAGTCTAAATAATGCTGCTGCTGCTCACGCTCTCGCTCTTTTTGTCGTTCTCGTTCTCGTTCTCGCTCCATATCCTTGAGTTTCCAGTTCAGCTCTGCTGCAGGTGCCGGTGTGTTGTTGTTGAGGTTTTTGTTGTTGCTGCTGGTGGCGGTTGAGTTAGAGCGAGTCGGCATCGGGCGAGCAGAGGCAGAAGAGAAAAAGATAGCGACAGACTGTGTGATGTGTGCGTGAATATGAGAGGGATGGCATGATGAATTTCATTGAGTTGGAAGGGGGTACAGTTACGCTTTCACTGTCATTCAGTGACGTCGATTTTTCTCGATGGAATGGTGCACCTAGGGATGGTGCTGGGTATTGGGTATGGGATGAGGTGGTTACAACAATTATAAACACTATTAAGTTAACAAACTTTAACAAAAATAAAAAAAATCATTTCGCCAAAAAGTAACTAAACAAAAACAACTACATATGTTGTATTTGTGTGTGTGTGTGTGTGTGTGTGTGTGTGTGTGTGTGTGTGTGTGTGTGTGTGAGTGTGAGTGTAGATACTAGTATCTTAAAATTATAATAAATATACGATTAGGTTCGTGCAGACATCAGGGTGGGGGGGGAGGTATGTAAAGCACACACACACATGCACACACTCACTAGAATAGTAGAGAGTAACATCGAGTTGTCTGTCGTTCTTAACTATACAAAATTGTATGCTGCATGATAAGTACATGGATTGAGTGTATGGGTTAGAGAGTGAGAGCTCTAATATTATGCAGACGGTAAAGTGTGTAGAGTGTGTGTGTATAAAAGACTCCCTCCTCCCCCCAAATACAACTTACAAATAAGTAAATATGTAAGAGTCACACCACACATTCTAACTGGATGTGTGATCAGAGTCATAGAAGTGGACTAGTCCACTACAACTCACTTAGTATCTAGATTCATAGTTGATTTAGATATTTAGAAATAGATGTATACAAAACAATAACGTTTATCGGATCATAAAAAGTGGATTGGATGGGTGTTGTCTGGGGGGTTGGGAAGTAGACAAAAAACATGGTATATTGCGGGATTGTGTGTGTGTGTGTTTGTATCGTTCTAAGGGTTGAAGATAGTTGAAATGTCATTTATGTATGTAGTAATATAGTAGTAAGTAGTTGTAGTTGCAGTTTTTGCGTAATAATAATAATATAAAAATAATCACAGACTCGGATTTGCTTGGATTGGATTGGAATCGTCACTTTTGCAATGTTCGTTATGTACTACTTGTATGTATATTCCCACACAACACAACGAGTGTGTGTGTGGATTCTGTTTTCGGTTTTGTTCAGTTATGTCTTTCTTTTGTTCTTACAAAACTAGAATCACGTGGCGTGGAATAACTTAAAATGTTTGCTATACAATTATGCAGGCTGCATGTTTTTTACGTATGCATTTTATATAATTTGTTTTTTATTAATCCATATATTATATCATATTGTGTAGCATTACGATTATTAGAGCTATATACGTAGATATACGTATCTCTGCATACATATATACGATACCATTTTCACTTATTTTTGTTGCATGCCCATTTATGTAGATATTCTTGCATTGAATAATCTTTTGCGTGCATTCTTTGTGTACTATTTTTCTCCTATATGTGGTCACAATTTTAATACAATTTCAACAACAAAAATATGCTCAAGGACAAGAAGTTACAATTATAAGCAGAAGAGCCTGCTCCTCCTGCCAACATTAGGATTCGCTTTGATTAGATTATATCGCTATTCGGAATTCGGTGTTCTTTATTCCGTATATTGTGTATTATTACATGCAGGCATATCATATCATGGCATGTATCTTTGCTTTGATCTTTAGTTTTAAGTCGAATTCTTAAGTTTCGAATAGTATTCTACTTTATCTTGAATCCTGTCTTAAATATACACACAATTTTGTGCCAATTATATCAAAGTTCTCAGCGGTTTCAATACATATATGTATGTGTAGTGTAGTTTTTGTGTGTGTGTGTCTGTGTGGTAATAATTTAACAAGAATCGTCAATGGATTTTATGGCTTGTGTCCACTCTCTCGTTTAAACGGATCTATATAGATCTTTATATATATATAAATATTTATGTATATGTAGTACGATGTAAATTTGTCTATGAGATTATCGAGTGAATATGGAAATGGTGGCGGATGGATGAGCTGTGTAATTGTGTGTTGTCTCATTTAATATTATTCATTTTCGGGGTTTGTTTAGTTGTATGGAATCTAGAGTTTAAGCCCAATACTCCCCCTTTTTATAAGAATTTTCACCTTATTTTCTAATGGGTAAAAACACAATCAAATCAAAGTGCAATACAATCGAAAGAAATACAAAATACAAAAATAACAAATAATATGTAGATAGATAAATGTCGATAGGTATTAAATTTCATTTTCGTTTCTCAATAATTAATTCGAAGAGGCTTTAAGAGTCATTACATCTGATTGATGCCATTCGTTATTTGAGCTTAATTTAGTTTAGAAACGAGACACTCATTCACAACTAAAATTGCATTTATACTATGTATATATCCTTTATGATATATACGAATAGTACATGTACCATATATCTAAGTGTACATATATATAAATTTATTTAATGGTTTTGTTTGCATGCCAATGCCACTTAATTCATATTTGTCTGTCTTGTGGTTGTTTGGGTTTGGGGTCTATGGTTATGTTTCTTCTGTTTCTATTTTCTGATGTTGTTCAGGTCAAGCTTAAAGCATATCCCATTCACTTAATTCTATATTTAAATACACTTGTTGTTTGTTGTTGTTGTTGTTGTTAAGAAAACGAAGCACGTTTTAGTCATAGTTATACGAACTTTACATTTAAAATCTAATTCAATATCTCTATATCTATGTAAATAGATACAATTTATGTTTTGTATTGTTATATATTATATGTATATATATGTATAATCTTGCCGTATACGCGCACAATAGGGCTTAGGCTCACTCTTACTAATAACAGATCTACAGATCAACAATTTGAAGTGTTGCAACTTTAGAGCTTACAAATCTAATGCCATTCTGTCAATGCCAAGCTGCAACATTGATCGGCCAGAATGGAATTTAAATATAACAAAAAATACACAATTAATCTGTTACACTTTGCAATTTAAAGCTTAATTCTATTTTTGCTGCCTCAATCCTTTTTCTTTATCTTAATCTTTATCTTCTTCCCCTTCTCATTCTCCAATCCTCAATCGTGCTTGAGTACAATGCGGGCCGGCCCTCGGCCACGCTGCTTGTGTCCGCCCCCACCGCCGCTTCCTCCAGAGGATGCTGCCTTCCGCTTCTCCAGACGCTCAAAGATGCCTCCTGAGTTGCTGCCTCCGGCATTGCTCCCTTTCCTCTGCAGTATGTGGTCATCCCCACGCTGTCGCCTATCCCGCTGCCTGCCATGAGAAGACTGCTGCTGATCTCCACCTACACCGCCGCTCCCATTGCTGGTAGGCTTCAGCACCACACGCCTATTTGAGGAGCCAAAGCTGCCCGTTGACGATGAGTTGCCACCGCGGGAGGCTTTCTGACTGCGCTTCACAACCAACATATCGGGCGTGGCCGAACGCTTGTTGCTTGCCCTCTGCTGATGTTGATGCTGACTCTGATGCTGGGGCGGTGGTGGCGACGGTGTGGCCAATAGGCGATCCTCCTCGTCCAGCATCAGTTCATCATCATCGTAGTCAAGCTCAACCTCATCGTCGCTGGGCGTGCCCAGACGAAGCGTATCGCGTGGCTTGCAAGTGGTGGGTGGAGTGGCACCACCACCACCAGCACCAGCTCCGCCTGTACTCGATCTTGCTAGGGCGGCGGTCGCTGCTGATCCGTGCTGCGGCTTTGGGGTGGGCGCCAGATGCTCGGTTATACTCCTTTTAGCTTCCGGCGCTATCTTGGCCGCCGTCACTTGCTTACGAGCGGGCGCCGTCGATGATGTTTGCTGTTGTCTGCTGCTGCGCCCACCGTTGCCGTTGCCGTTGCCATTGCCCCCCGCCTGGTCCAGGTCTTCGCGACGCTTCAGCGAGATAACCTTGCGCTCATGGCTACTAGCTGCCGGACGTTGCTTTTGTGGTGGTGCTAGTCCAGCACCAGTCGCCTCCTTCTCGTCACGGCCTGGCGAAATATGCTGTTCGGCGCGCTTGTCCTAGAAAGTTATTTGATTTTCTAGTTGGTTCTTTGCGCATCTCTTAGGCTAGTCCCTCCCCTCCACTCGGACGTGACACTCCCCACTATATGTACAATTTTTGAGGCTCGACTTACGACTAGGATGGTCGGCGCACTTACCTCGTGTAGCTTCTCTTCGGCCGCGCGCCTACGCTTTAGCTCCTTGTCGCGCAATATCTTCTCACGCAGTTGCTTCTGCTTCTCAATCTCCAGGCGATAGATGCGAGTCTCCTCATCCTCCTCGCTGGCCTACAAATTGGTAGAGTGAGGAAAGCCAAGTAATTTTCTCTTTACGGATTATTACCTTTCCACTGACTGCGGTGCGACCACCGCCAGTGTCCGAGGGTCGGCCGCGTGGCTCACCCGAGAAGGGGTTACGATTCACAGAGCCGTTGGAACCGCTGCGACGTCTCTTGTTGGGAACAACAGTGCCTCCGCCGCCGGGGCCGCCGCCGCCACTGCTTCCACCGGCACTGGGTGTTGGTGCACTTCCTGGCGTGCCACCCGCTCCACTGCGATTCTCGTCTCGATCGCGGCTAGCAACCCTTCGGAATCCACGATTCCCGACTGGCCGATTGGCCGTTCCATACCGCTGTTCACGTTCGCGCTCACGTTCCCGATCACGCTCTCTCTCCCGCTCCCTTTCGCGCTCCCTTTCGGCACGCTTGGCGGGCGAATAGCTGCGGCCACGGGAACGACTGCGGCTACGACTGCGTCGCCGCTCCCCAGCCTGAACCGACGAAGAGGCTGCCCCAGAGCTCGAACTGGAGCCAGCCGGTGGCGGCGAGCGCTCCATTCGCCGCTTCTCAAAGTACTGACGATTCTTATTGATGAACTCCTCCTGCTGGCGCAGCAGCTCCTCGTCGCTATTGATGGCCGGCATGAAGTGTGTCTCCTTGATGAACTTGTTGGTGGCTGCCTCGACGCCGCCCTTGAAATTCGGATTGATGAGCACCTTGCTGACCCGCGGTATGGCCGCTGGACCACCACCCTGTTGTGCCGGTGGACCGTTCGGTTGTGGCTGCTGCTGTTGAGTAGGATTTGGCGGCTGCTGCTGCTGTTGCTGCTGTGGTGGACGCACCGGCTGAGGCGGCTGCTGCTGAACCTGCTGCTGTTGTTGTGGTGGTGGTCCGCGCATTCCCACCATCCCATTCGGATAGTTGGGCGGCGCTCCTGGCATCATGTGCGGCGGCAATGCCTGAAGGGGCGGACGCGGCATGCGTGCTCCGTCCCCCTGCGGCCTCCAGCCATTGTGCGGCCTCATAAACTGTGGCGGATGCTGTGGTGGCGGATGGCCGTGATCCCCATAGCCGCCATAGACAGATGGCGGCGGGCCAGCATTGCGATACAGTGACGGACGCATACCAGTTGGCGGCAGGAGTGGCGGACCTGGTCCCAGCAGCGCCCCATTTCGATAGCCGCCCGGCTGGGGGGCATACGACATCGGTGGCTGCAACAGGCCGACGCGCACTTGCTCATGGGGATGCGGCAACAGATGCGGTGGTATTCCTCCGTTTGGATTGTGATTGTGGTGCATCATGTGCGAGGGATTCAGCAAGGGAGAGGCAGGAGCATTATGTTGTTGTTGCTGTTGTTGGTTCGGTGCTTGGTGCTGTTGTGACTGGTTGGGTGGCTGGTTGGGCGGATATTGTCCTGGAATTGGAGCAGGAAACTTGTCAAGCTTTCGCTGTCGCTGGATGGATGGATCAAGGATGTGGCTGAAGTCTTACCCGGCATGCTATATCGTTGCTGTGGCGCCGGCATCCCAGACATCCCCATGCGCTGTTGCTGCTGTTGCATTGTCCCGAACATGGGCGTTGGATTGCGCAGCAGGTGATGACGTGCGCCTCCCATACCTCGCATCGGTTTGCCCATTTGATTCTGCTGCTGTTGCTGCTGCTGGCCGTGCATGAATCGTCCCCCGCCTCCCACTCGTGACTTGTCTGTGGGTAGAGCATGAGAGAGATTTCTTTTGTAGACATTCCTGCAGACACTTCCTGGGAGAAATCGGCTGGACACTTACCTGAATGGTTTTGGTGTCGCCGCTGCATTTGCTGATGCTGCTGAAATGGCGACATAGAGTGGGAGTGCTCCTGATGCTGCCTGTGACTGCTTTCGACTCGCTCGCTGCCAGTCTTGTAGTTGGTGCGCTCCTCGCGCTCCTCCTCATCCTCACGCAGGTCGGCCAGCTCCGATGCCGAACTGCCACTAGGCAGACTCTCCTGGGAAGAGGCCAGCAATGAAGCAGGTCCCAGTCCCAGTCCGGTCTCGCTCTCACTGTCAGCCTCGCTCTGCTTGGCTGTGCAATCCGCAGCATCTCTGGCTAATGTCTCTTTGGTGCTGATGCTAGAGGTGTTTGCGATGGCCTTGGCACTGGCCCTGCCACTTCCACTTGCCTGAGTCGGAGGCGTTGCTTCCTTCTTCGACTGTGGCGGCACTTTTTCTGCGCTTTTCATAGTGGTTGTCTCTTCTGTAGCTTTCTGCACAGCCACTGCTGGCGGTGGTGTGGTTTCCGCCAAAATCGCTACCACTGTGTCGTCTGTTTGGACTTTTGGGTCAGTTGCCACCACAGTAGTTAGACTTTGAGTCTTTGTGGTAACCACTGTGGAAGATGCTGTCTCCTCATCAGCTACAACTGCTACTGCAGTTTGCTCTGATGTTGATGCCTCAACTGGGGCGGCGGACTGTTCCTTCTGCTTGCGCTCATGCTGACGCAGTTGCTCCTGGGCCCATTCCTCTGCCTCGGCGCGCATTTGTTGCTTCACCTCGCTGGTGACATCCTTTTCGAGCTCTGCACAAGATATTCGATTCGCTTGGATTATTTGTCCACATTACATACCGGAAAGTGGGACTTCCACCCACAACTTACCTTCGTCCGAAAGAAGCAGCTCATCCTCATCGGCTCCGAGCAGGGCCTGATCATCGATGTCGTCGCCCAGTAGTTCGTAGTTAAGCAAATCATCGCTGTAATTTTCCGAATAAATGCAAAATGAAAATCATCTTCCATCATCCAGGAGGGACCCCACCACCCCGACATCGACACACACAATTAAACTTGTAGATGTTTGAGAAAAATCCCGTTGAATAGATCTTTACTTTGGTTGAATACAGAAACAAAACAAAAAAACAAAACTTATTGGTTTTGTTGGGGCGACACGACGGACATGAAACTCCACTCGCTCCTGCACCCACACACTCATCACTTTACGCACACACACAACACTCACACTTGCGAAAACACCTTGAATGTGTTATACATAGAGGAACGGAACACCAAGCCCTCCCACCCTCCTTTAGCAACCAACCAACCAACCACTCACTCATCACACACGCTAGCCTTGCTAGGCACTTTTCTTTTATGCAGAGATATGGTGCATTTGATAATCAATTAATCGACTGGCGGCTCCTCTTCACACTTTGAATTTTCCCCTTCGGGCTACTTACTTAATGTCCGACATTTTGACGGCGGGTGGCCAGGGCCAGGGCAGCTGTTGACACTCGGCGGCGTGTCTGTGTATGCGTGTGTTATTTAGAGAAGTGGAACAACGAATGCCCACCACTTTCTGTGCGACCCGACTACACCATATTGTACATTTTTTCAGTGCATTTTGTATCACTCCATTCAGCCATACACGCGTGTTTTCAAACACAAAACACTTCCAAAAAAATGTATTCTTTTTTTTCACAGGCAAAAATGTCAATTTTTAGAGGGATGCAGTCCGGCTCGGTGTGACCGCTGATTTTTCGATAATATATGCCGCCTGACCCGCGGAAATATACCTAACTATATCATCTTATACGCAAACACACCTTAGTGGTTGATTTTATTTTATCCGATTGATTCATCAATATTATAGAAGATTAGCTTTTTTTTTGGAACTGACTTTATTGTATTATTTGTGAAAAACATTAACGCGCTAGAGGAGTTTTGGCATATTCAGTATATATGCAGAATGGGCATCGAAACGGCCCGGTCTGGCCACCCTTTATTTTTATTCAATACTTCAACGTCGTTTTTCAGCATGTGTTTGATTTTTGTTGGGCCTGAAAGCTTATTATGAATAGCCATAATGTGTATGCAAGTGATGAACCGTAGTTTTAGTACGATATTCTTACATTTTGCCTAGATATTGCCATCTCATAAATGGCAGCACGCTGTATTTTAGCGAACATTTCAGTATATTGTACCACTTTCTCGGTATTTGCCATTCACCATAAACACATGTAATAAAATGAGTTGGCAGGACTGCGGCCGCCGCCATTTCATTTTGAATTTACCGAAATTTCGTCTGGCGTCATTCGCGTCTGTGCTGTGGCATTTTGCTTGGAGTAAACACATTTCCCGTCCTAAGTTCTTTACAGTTCGGAAAACACTAGACTAACTTAGTAGAAATATAGGCGTCAATGAGAACTACTCCTTGTGCTGTGAGGCATGAGGCATGAGGTACCATCAGGCACGAAAAATTCTCATTGTGCAAACACAAAAAAAGGCGTCACACATCTGTGCAATTAGGAAAAATCGTTCGCGCATCAATTTCACTCGATACCCGAAGACAAGAAGGACTTTCATCAGCCATGATTGACCCAACCTCCATCAAGGGGCAGATCCTTGAGATAACCGGCGAGCATGTGGAGCAGCTCCATTCAATGTGGTCCCTCATGTTCGAGCCGAAGACGTGCGAGGACTTTCTACACAAACTTAAGGCGCACGCGGACAATTTCTACACGGATCTGCTGACCGAGTCGCGGGAGAAGCAGGCGGCCATCCTCGACGACATTGCCGCACTCCGGGCCGAGGCCAACGACCTCAGCCGACTCCTCCACGAGACGGTGGACATTGGCCAGCGGCCCGACGATATGCCGCTGATCATATGGCAACTGCAGCTGGACAAGAGCATTGAGCATCTGCGAGAGGAGCTCCTGAAACGCCGGTCGGAGATTGGCGAGCTGCTGCTGCAGCAGGAGAAACTCTGTGAGGAGCTGGGCGCCTTGCCGCGACCCCTACTGGCAGACCCGCTGCCCCTGCCCGAAGAGTTGGAAGATTTTCGCGACCATCTCGACAATCTACGCTCGCAGCGCGATCTGCGCCAGAGGGAGCTGGACCAGCTCCGCCAGGCCATCAAGCAGGACATGAAAATGCTGGAGCTGATGCCCCAGACCGAGGCCGAGGAGCGCCTGCTGAACGATCTGAACCACAATCTAACGCCAGAGACACTCGAGCGTCTGCGACAGTTGCGCGACTCCTATGCCGAGCAGATCCAAGAGCTGCGCTCAAAGATCCATGACATGCGCGAGAAGATCCACGTGCTGTGGGATCGCCTCCAGGAGACAGACGAGAACGTCATGCGTCGGGTGCGCGAGACCACCGAGTGCACGCAGCGCACATACGACATCCTGCACACGGAGCTGCAGCGCTGCCAGACGTTGCGCAGCCAAAACCTCATGACATTCATCGAGCAGCTGCGCGTGGAGATCAGCAAGTGGTGGGACCTGACGCTCAAAAGCCAGCAGGAGCGCAAGCGCTTCTCCAACTACTACAGCAAGTACTACAACGAAGACCTGTTGGAGCTGCACGAACTAGAGCTGGACGACCTCAAGAGCTTCTACAAGTGCAACAAGGAGATCTTCGATCTTTACGAGAGTCGTGCGGAGCTGTGGTCGCGCATGCAGGCCCTGGAGGCAAAGGCCAGTGAGCCGAATCGCTTCAACAATCGCGGCGGCCAGCTGCTTAAGGAGGAGAAGGAGCGGAAGGCCATAAGCTCGAAGCTTCCTAAGATTGAGCAGCAGATCATTGAACTGGTGCAGGCCTACGAAGTGCAATCGCATGGCCCATTCTTGGTGTATGGCGAGAACATACTGGAGCTGATGACCGGCGAATGGGAGCGCTATCGCCAGGCCAAGCAGCTGGGCTCGGTCCGCAAGAAGGCCCCGACCAGCACAGCACCGGGCAGCAGCCACAAACTGATGATGCCGCCGCCGTCTGCCGGTTCAACGGCCCCACGCACTCCCCGCACCCTGAAGAACATGTCCTCAATGTCCTCATCGACAATGTCGCTGCGCAAGACACCAACAATCCAATTGACTGCGCCCAATATGACCAAGAGCACTGGCAATCTGCACAAGCGTCTAAATCCAACCGCGGCTGCCAGCTCTTCGGGCTATCGCACGCCTAATGCCAAGCGCAGCCTGATGAGCTCGCTGAACTCGATCCGTCCCTCGCCGGCTGTCGCCCAGCGGCTGGCCAACAGCCAGCTTAAGGTGTCCAAGTCGCCGCTTAAGCGGGTGCGTGTCCTGGACAACACATTGCGTCGCAGCGGGGGACTGGGCAGACGCAGCATTGGCACACGCTCGAACAAGAAGCCACGCACCAAGTCAGCGGTGCCGTGCACCACATCGCCCAGCGATGCTGAGTACATGACCGATGAAACAACCGAAAACGAACACGATCTCGAAAACGGCATCTCCTATGAGGAGTTTGTGCCCACGAGTCGCTCCTCGGTGCTGCCCGTCGGTGGGGTTCATCGTCAGCGCAATCGTTTGACTGCGCCACGGAATCGCCATCTCCTCGCGAACCACACCCACAATTCGACGGCCTCGGTGCCCACGACACCGTCCAAGCAGGTGGCCAATAAGCAGGAGGAGAAGCCGCGCTTTGGCAATCATTTGAATCTGCCGACGCCACGTCAGAGCCGCATGTGGCAAAATCCACGATGAGATTATCCACTCAATTAATACTCGCAAATTCCAACTCCCAATTCAGCTGCTTAGCCCCAAGAGCTGAATCTTCGAATTTCTATTATTTTTTTGGATTCTATGTTTAATTTAATTTACCTTTATCTTTTGACTGTTTTCTGTTTCATTTGTTGTCGATGTTGGCCGAATAAAAATAAAAATTATCCGTAAGAAGGACCAACCGAACCCCACAAGCGACCATACATACATACATATATCTATCATTAGCTATCCGAAGCCGAATAATCCTAAATGAAGTAGCATTCGAGATTGAGTTTGGATGGTAATATCCAAGCTAACTCGCTGCCAACTCAGAGTCAACGATCAAAGCTTTCCAACGAAAGAAAACCTCCACCTGATGGGAGGAAATAATTAATATTCTCAACCAGAGCAAATGGCAGCAAGAACTGGTGGTGCTTCCCTGTTCAAAAAGTGGACCGAGGTCATCAGATAAATATTTGCATAGCTACAAGAAGTCTTTTATCAAAGGTTAAAGACACTCACTAAGAAGTATCTGTACCCTAAATGACATTTTAAATAAGTTTTGAAGATTGCTGATCTATTTACTCTTCGAGTAACGGGTATAAAAATTAAACTCCACTGCTTTAGGCATAAGAAATCTTTTTTAATTTACAATTTCATTTGTTTATAATTCAATAAAATAAATATGGGAAAGTTAATTATGAAACAAGAGAGTAATAAATGCAGAAGAGGAATTTGGGGGCATCATTCTACAAACTTCCTTTACACTAGGCAGATAAATAATTGTTTATCAAATGTGTAAATGGGCTCCAATGAATTTTGTTGCAATTTTGTTGAATTACTTTTCCCTGTCCTTTGGCAAACTGCATCCCCAAATAATAGGTTTAAGCATTTATAAAATACATTCATTTATGTACTGTGTGTTGGATGCTACATTCTGTGTGATGTCAACTGTGGGTGGGGCTCTTAATATATTTCGTCTTATCACATAAAGTTCTAAAACAAGAGAAAGTTGGCAGCTAGTCGCAGCCACTGTCTGCTCTTATGTACAAAAGCGGAGAAATTTAAGATTGCACTGGAATAATAATAGTTGTTTGTCTGCCGATGATGTGTGGCATGTAGTTGAGGCCAGTGGCCTGTGGGTTGTGCGTGGTAGAAGCAGCAGCAGCTGCAGCTATTTGCCGGTCTCGCTGCCGCTCTGATTGTGCTGGCTGCCACCAGCATGATTGTACATTAGATGCGCTGCAAGCAGACAGGAAGACAGAAGGAAATATTTGGCTTAGCAACAAAACAAAGTTTGGAACACTTTTCGGAGAGCTTACCCATAACGACGGGTGGAAAATTGAAGGCACCGAATGGTGCTGCATTCACAGGAGTTGGCGTTGGCGGTGCTGGGGCGGGTGCATAGGCGACACCATCGATAGTGGTCACCGCCTCCGCCGCAGACGTTGCTAATGTTGTGGGCCCAGCCCCCGTTGTCATAGGCGAGACATTGTACGCTGAGGCAGCCTCCGGCGGAGAATGATGATGAATTATGGTGGCGGACGAGCTCTCGATTCCCGTACCCATTGCAGCCACCGGCCCACCCATTTGTTGCTCCAGCTGCTGATTGGGATCCGGCCCAGACGACGACGACGAAGACTGATAGCGAACGGGGGGCATCACGACAGTGGTCAGGTGGGATTGAGTGGCATCCTCGAGGAGTCCTGTACGCTGCAGGCGACCCGTCTTCGTCTCGATATGCTTGTTGTGGGCACTCAGGCAATGGTTGCGCATATTGTACAGCTGCAGGAAGTAGGCATCGCAGTGCGGACACTTGTATCGCTCGCCCGTATGCCGACGTATGTGCGCCTTCAGATCATTGCTCTGGGTGAAGCTCTTCGGGCACTGGTCGCACATGTACGGCCGCTCGCCCGTGTGTGTTCGCATGTGGATGGTTAAATTGTAGGCCCGATGGAAGCTCTTGCCGCACGTATTGCACAGATTGGGCTTGGTGCCCGTGTGATACCTGAAAACGAAAGGAAAGGAGCTATCAGTGCGTGGATCATTGTTTAAACGCAATGACGGAGTACCTACCGCTCGTGCACCTTGAGATCGGTGGCGCGGGGAAAGGCCTTCACACAGTAGCGGCACTTGTACGGCTTCTCGCCGTTATGCCGCCGCATGTGCACACGCAGATAGTCATTGCGGGCAAAGCTGTCGCCGCAGATGCAGCACAGGAAGTTTCGCTGCCCGGTGTGGCTCTTTTCATGCTCGCGCAGCTGCTGGCGCTCCTTAAAGGTCTCCTCGCAGCTCTTGCAGGCGTACAGAAAGTCGGTGTGCAACAGCGTGTGCTTGCGCAGGTACGTCTTGCTGGAGAAACGCTTCGAGCAGTACTCGCAGGTGTGCTCTGCCAGCTGGAGATTCAGTTTGCTGCCCGCCACCAGGCCCTCGCCGTTGTGCTTGCTCACCTTGTGCCGGTCGAGGGCCTCGGGCCGGGCAAAGGCGGCCTCGCACAGCGTGCACTTGTGCTCCTTGTTGCTGTGCAAGCTCTGGACATGGGCCTTGAGGTGGTCGCTGCGCGCAAACGCCTTGGGGCACTGCGGGCAGCTGTGCGGCTTCTTCTCCAGATGTGAGAGCTTGTGCCGCAGCAGGTGGCAATGGCGCGAGAATGTCCGCTGGCAGACATCGCAGCGATTCTCTGGATTCGCTTCTCCGCTCTGTTTGTTGCGACGCCTTCGTTTCAGGGGCTTTCCTTTCCTCAGGTAATCCCTCACGATCTCCAAATTGGATCTATTTACGCCTTCCGGGGGCACGTCATCCATCTCTTCTCCATCATCCTCATCGTGGTCGTCGTCCTCCAGGTCGCTCTCCTCATCCTCATCCCCATACTCGTAGTCCTCCTCCTCCCCATCTTCATCACTGAGAGGCAGCTCCAGCGGCACCTCGGGGCGCCTCGAATCATTCATGACGTCATCTTCCTCGCGTCCTTCATTCTCATTCTCATCATCATTCACGCAGCCAGCTGCCGGCTGGCTTTCCTCTTTGATGTGCAGCGTCGCCTGAACGGCGGTGTCTGCGCTGGGCATAGGTTCATCTGGGGGAGATTAGGATTTAGTGTGAGGATCTAGGAACGGGCTCACTGCGACTCACCCTTGACAGCGGCGGCCTCGCTGGTGGTACGCCGCTCCTCCTCGGTTTCAGTCTTCCCTTTGCGCCGGCGCAGCTTCTTCTCGACCTTCAGATCGAGATCCTCGGCCTCCAAGCAGGGCTCCGGCTTGATGTGCAGCCACAGCTCCTTTTTGGCCTCCTCGTCATTGAGCTCGTCCTCCTCCTCGTTGCTGGATATGGGATTGATATTGCACTGATAGGCATCGCCCTCGTCATTCTCGTCCTCGTTCAGCAGCACCTCGGCCGACACCAGCTCATCCCCGGTACAGCTCTGTATAGTTGCCTCGTCCTCCAGCGGCGGCCAGGTGCTGTCTGCCTCCTTTTTGTGTATGTTGCGTATGTGGCGAAGCATGTGATCCCTGCGGGTGAAGGCTGTCTGGCAGTGGGGACACTGTAGACGTTCCGCTTGGCTGTGACTCCGTGCCAGATGCGTACGAAGCTGTCGAAGATGCGGGAAATGCTGTGGACAGAACTTGCACTTGAGCTGCTGCACCACCACTCCTTCATTGGCAGTAGCATTAGGTCCGGTGCCAGTGCTACTGCCACTGTCCCTTGCTTTGTGCACCCTATTCCGATGCAGCCGCAACTCCAGGCTGTTCAGAAACTGGTCATGGCACATCTCGCAGGGCAGGAGGGCCACCTGCTCCGTTTGGGTGCACACATCGGACCTACTGCTGTTGAGCGTACGTCCCAGCAAGGCCATCAGGGAGCAGTAGGACTTTTCCGCGTCCCGCTTGAAACGGTAGGCGTGGCGGGCCGCCTTGGTGCACAGCTCGCACATTTTATGTGGCATCTTGTCGTCGAATCGGTCGCAGGTGTAGCGCGTGCACTCGTTTAGTATCTGGGCGAGATTGGCTCCCTGCTCCACAGGCGCCTCGTCGTAGATGAAGTGCATCTCCTCGCCCACTGCCGTCACACTGCGCAGGCAAATGCGGCAGACAATCGCAGCATCGAAATCGAAGCTGCCGCCCGCCGGCACTGGTTGGGCTGAGCCTGTGGCGGCCATTGCAGTTGTTTGGGTGTGGATTTTGATTGTTATTGCATATATGCATTTACAAATTATTGCCGCTGCTACTGCATTTCCTTAATTTTTTTTTTTACTAATTTGTGGGATTTATTTCTAATTTAAGTACGATCATACTCTGAGAGGATTGTTTCCATTGCCAAGTGTGGTCACACTAAGCCACACATCGATATGCAGAATGGAAAAAATATCGCATACGAACAGATGGCGCCCCGCTCAACAAATTTTAATTCCAAACTAAGAATGATATAAACCTTTATTATTTACAAAAAATGCTCGATCCTGGAAATCCGACAAATTACACCTTAATCTGTGATCCAGCTCCCGCATCCACAATCAAGGTCAGCTGGCCACTTGTGGGATCCACCCAGGCAGCGGGAAACTGTTTGTCTTGGTCCAGGAAAACGCGCTGCAAGAAAAAGTGCCATTAAATTAGTAAATGCAGTAAACCATATTGAGACTCGTCTGTTCCCACCTTCACAACATCCGATTTGCTGGCGCCGGTCACCACAAATGCCACATCCCTGGCATTGTTGATCAGCGGCAGAGTAAAGGTGATACGCTCCGGCGGCGGCTTTGGGGAATTTTGAATGGGAATCACCAGACGCGAGGTCTCCTCGAGCTTAGCCGGCTGCTCGGGAAACAAGGAACAGGTGTGGCCATCCGGGCCCATGCCCAACAGCAACAAATCGAATTGTGGCAGATTACTGGGACTGTTGCCAACCTTGACCTTAACTTTCGCCTCGTAATCGGCGGCACACTCATCCAGCGGCTTGGTGGTGTCAGCCTTGACAAACTGTGAGTCCAGAATGTTTGGTAGCTGGCTCAGCCACTCGGTTCTATAAGCACAATAGGTGGAATCACTGTGATCATCAGCCACATAGCGTTCATCGCAGAAGAAGAACTCCCAGTTGCTGGTGTCCAGTCTACTGCTCCTCAGGGCTTTTGTTAAGAGCTGCACAAGAGAGCCACCTGTCCAAGGAGAAACAGTTGAGATTAGTGATCGAAAGTTAAGACACCTGACAAGGTCACCTTAAGTTGAGCTTATCAACACACACACACACTCAGATCGATTCGATCCTTACCTGAGAGGCCAAGGCTGAAATTTGTCTTCCTATCCTTCGCCTGCTCGGAGCAACGCCTCAGCAGATCGCTTAGGCTATCAATCAATTTATCCTCGGACTCGGCCAAGCTCACGTTGAAGGAACATTTTCGGTTGGGCATATTGAAAATAATATTAACACCTTGGACCTGACCCGACTTGTTTTATGTTTAAAATATCGATAAGGATTGTTAAACTTACATGTTATCGACGTGAATAATTTTTGTAATGGTGATGCGATATAATAATTATATTAGTGCGATTTTTTCGCTACAATTAAATGAAATTTGATAATTAGTAATTAATATTAAAATTATCAAGTTGATGTATGGGAACACCATATTAAGAAAACATCAACAAATCAAACATGCGACATGAGATCTATATCCCAGGGAAGCTGAGCCCCTCAACTCGATAGCTATCGCCAGCAGTAGGGCAAAATTTATCGATACATGCACATCCTTAAATAATTTCATTAAATTGCGTTTCATTTTTTTATTGTGCAAACGCCGTAAAACATTTTCAAAAATAAATGCATATAAAGTACCATTAAGGCATCAAATCAAAAAGTGGATAGCACATCCCATAATTACAAACACAACGCGTTTTAGAGACGAGCTAAGAGCGCGCATTGTTTTGCTAGCATTTTGGCACTAAAAAGAGCAAGAAAAAAAAGACAACCGTGTGCGTGTGCTCTGAGAAAAAGTATATTTACCTTTTGTGAAAAAAAACAGAAAAAAATGCCTAAACGCGGCGGTGGCGGCGGCGTCGGTGGTGGCAGCCAGCGCTACAATAACAACAATATTGGCAATGGCGGCGGTGGAGGGGGCTCGCGTTACTCTGCACTAAAAGATTTTGATGGTGAGTGCAAATCCGCAGGATCATTTTTATAATTATGATATTCATTTAAATATACAAATGTCAAACCATTTAGCCGATGGCGATGACCAGCAACGTCGCAAGGACCGCAACAAGAGACGCGTTAGCTTTAAGCCGCCACAATTTCCACACAAAAAAGATGTCAAATTACGTATGGAGGATTTGCGTCGTTGGGATGAGGATGATGATATGAATGAAATGACAACAGCCGCCAAAGTAAGACAAACTGACACCAAAGAACGCCATGTGCATTTAATCTTGCATGTTTCTCTCTCTGCGTAGGATCGTAATGCATTGCGCCGTCGAGGCTCACCGATTCCACGGGGCAAATTCGGCAAACTGATGCCCAACACCTTCGGGTGGTATCAAGTGACGGTAAGTCCCAGCCATAGCCATTAAGTAAATAGTAATACATATAGAGAACCACAACCATAAAGATATTCATGTATCGTCTGCGGACAATTTAGAGCTGGCAATTCTTTAACGTACAGATGTATGGACTGAAACGTAATCAGAGAACTATGTTAGTTGGGATCCTTTATAGCTTATAGCTTATCGCAGAAACACACACACATGTGATCGGTGTCTGGTCTGTGGTCTCTGGGAATAGATTCCCGAATTTCGCAACATCCATGGAGAGACACTTGTGGACACTGTCCCACCACCACGCCCGCCCCACCCCGCCTCGTCTCTGCTCAGTTGTATTTATTAATTAATTTGAATCGTAAAAATCGTAATGTAAACAAGAAAATCTTAAATAGCAGCCACAGACACACGTTGTTTGTGTGTGCAGACTGGTGAGGGGAGGGCAGGGCAGGGCAGGGCAGGGCAGGGCAGGGTCCCAGCAATTACAATTGCAAGCAAGCAAATAATAATTTATGGTCGATTCGGGTACGGGGCCAGTGCCTGTACGGACAGTGCCTGCCGCCAGTAGATGGTCCCCAGCATTCACTGGCTTAAGCATGTTTCCTCCGAAATATTATCTGCCTGCTCTGCTTGCCGGTCTGTGGATGCTTTAGTTGTTCACTTTCTGGTGTGGCAGTAATCTTCCGCCCCGCTTGGTGCGTGCTGTGTGTGCCGCCGCCCACCATACACACACGGCACTCGGCTATCTCTCTCGGCGGTGTCATAAAAAACACCCAAGCAGAAAGCAGCCAGCCCCTATGCTGACGGTGCTCCTTTAGGCCCGCTTGGCAGCAAAGCAAAGCAGAACCGAACAGTGGCACTGGCCCTGGCTCTGGCGCTGACTCGCTGTGGTCATTGGGCAATGCCTTTCATTTCATCGACGGCCGGCAAACGCTAAAGACTGTGAAACTGCGAGCGCGCGCGCTGCCGTTGAATCTCAAGAGGCACGATTAGAGGCCGGAGTGGCATACCCCAGACCAGACCACACCAGACACGGACCACACCATCCACTTATCACACTCGGGAGTGATTAGATGTGCGATTAGATACACGAAACTACAACACGTGCGAGAGAAGAGAGTGAAGAAAAAATGGGAGCCACTTTGGGAGCCTGGGACTATGCCATCCTGGCGGTGGTGCTCATCATCTCCGTGCTGATTGGCCTCTACTATCGGTTCGTGGGCCAGAGGCAGAGCACCACCACGGAGTACCTGCTGGCTGGCCGCTCTATGGGCGTCACCCCGGTGGCGTTTAGTCTGATGGCCAGCTTCATGTCGGCCATCACCATACTGGGCGTATCGATGGAGAACTATCAGTTTGGGACAATGTTCGTGATCATCAATCTGTCGTATGTGCTATCCACGCCCATTGCCGCATACCTCATACTGCCGGTCTTCTATCGCCTGAAGACGGCCAGCGTCTACGAGTATCTGGAGCTGAGGTTCGGCTATGCCACCCGATTGGCCGCTTCCGTTAGCTTTTCGCTGCAAATGATCCTCTACATGGGCATTGTGGTGTATGCCCCTGCCCTCGCCCTGGAGGCCGTCACGGGCGTCAATCAAATCTTTTCGATTGTCATTGTGGGCGTCGTGTGCACCTTCTATGCCACAATGGGCGGCATGAAGGCCGTCCTCGTGACTGACATCTATCAGTCGCTGCTTATGTTCGTCGCCGTCTTCAGTGTGATCATCTGTGCGTGGGTGAAGTCCGGCAGCCTCGGCGAGATCTGGCGCACCGCTCAGGAGAACGGACGCATCGACTTCACCAACTTCAGTGTGGATCCAACGGAGCGGCACACCTGGTGGACCCAGATCCTCGGCGGCTGTGCCACCTACCTGGCCATCTATGGCGTCAATCAGACCCAAGTGCAGCGCCTGCTGGCCGTCCGCAATCTGAGCTCTGCCCGTGCGGCGCTGTGGTGGTGCCTGCCCATCCTCTGTCTGCTCAGCCTGAGCACTTGCTTCTCTGGACTGTGCATCTATTGGTACTACCGCCAATGCGATCCCGTCCTGGAGGGGCGCGTCAATTCGCGCGATCAGGTCATGCCGCTCTTCGTGGTGGACACCATGGGCAAGTACACCGGCCTGGCGGGACTCTTTGTGTCGGGCATCTTCTGTGCGAGCCTCTCCACCATCAGCTCGATCATCAGCTCCCTGGCGGCCGTCACCCTGGAGGACTACCTCAAGCCGCTCTTCAAGTGCTGCTCCATTCGCGGCGGCAGCCTCACGGACCGCCAGACCTTGTGGTACTCGAAGCTGCTCTCCGTATTCTATGGCCTGCTGTGCATTGGCCTGGCCTTCCTCGCCGGCTCCATTGGCGGATTGCTGCAGGCGGCGCTCTCAATTTTCGGAATCATCGGGGGACCGCTGTTGGGCCTCTTCACTCTGGGCATGTATGTGACGTCTGCCAATCAGAAGGGCGCAATCGGTGGGCTGCTCATTTCGTTGGCTCTGTGCTTCTGGATTGGATTCGGGCAGCCAAAACCGCCGCTGGTCAGCCTGCCCATGTCCACGGAGGGATGTCCGATTGACAAAACCTACGCACGTGATGCATTCTTCCCAAGGGCGCAGCGGCAGGATGAGGATTACTTTTACTTGTACAGAATAAGCTACATGTGGTATGCCGCTTTGGGCTTCCTGGTGGCCTTCTTCGGCGGCTGGCTGCTCTCCTGGCTGTGTGCGCTGCTCAAGTGGGACGACAATCGGCGCATCTACCAGGACGCCGAGTGCACCTTTATCAAGCACGATCTGTTTGTGCCGCCACTGGCAAAGCGGCTACAGCGACGGCAGATGCCGCGGCTGGTCGTCACCGGCACTAGTTCGGAAATTGGCGGCATTGCCGTAGTGACGCCGCCGCGACTCGACCAGATTGAATGGGAGAAGCAAAAGGATGTGGCGTAGCGTAGCGGAGAAGTTGTCTTTCTTTATTTCATGGTTAAACTTTTGGCAACACAATAAGAATAAATGAGCAAAACAAAAAAAAAGCGAAAGAAATTACGAAGCGTCGCACTTTAGCCAGCGGTCACTGCGGGAGCGGCACTCGCCTCGTAATAGTTGCGACCCGACGACAGGTGCCACAGGCCCAGTAGGCGGATTAGCTCCTTATAGCTGAGTGTGTTCAGATCCCGCCGCTCGGCCGTGTAGACACCAGCTGAGTACAGCTCCTGCACAATAGTGTTGAACAGCTCCGGACGATCCTCTTGGGCGGTAGCCACTACTTCCCCTCGTGCAGCAATGCGTGAAATGTGCGATGGCTGGGCGGCGGCTGCTGCTGCTGATTCTTGTACTGGCTCAATGCCATCAAAGGCAGCCACCAGCTCAAGATCATTCGTCATGGGCAGGGCATTCAAAGTGCCTGCCGCTAGCAGGAGACCCGCCAGCACCAGTCCTAGTCCCAGTAGTCCCGGAAACTTTTCCATTGTGTCCGTCCGATTGCACGAAGCTTTGCCTTTGCACTGAGTATCCGCGCTCGATTGAATCACTACGAATACGCCTATTTCTGTTTCAGTTTCTGCTGAAATGCTACTGCTGCCTCTTCACGTCGATCGGGGAATGGTCTCTCGTTATATCGGTCCCTCGGTCCCTCCGGGGTGCGCTCCAATTTCTGTGTTCTATCACGCCTTGCCCTGCCGTGCCCTGCCCGGCTCTCCCTTCGCCACTGATCAGCATTTCTGTTGATTGAAAAGTCACTGGTAGGGTCGTTCAATTATTTTATCTGTGCATATATGTACATGTTCGTGTGTGTGTGTTTGTGTGTGTGTGTGAGTCTGTATCTTTCGCCATAGCATAAGTTGGTTTCGCGTCTGTTGTCCAGTTTCCAGTACAAAAAATGTAGTTAATTGTTTTGGGCTTTCGTTTTATTTTGATTTTGATTTTAGCTTTGGCTTTTCGGTTCTTCGTTCCAAGACGATGCGATCCAATTTACGATTAGAATCTGCGCAGTTTGTGCTCTCGCGCATGCAAGGGTGTTTTCTCTCTTTTGTGGCCTTATCTTATCTACCTCGATAGCCACCACCTAGATAAATATGTAACCCCAGAGGCAGTATTCGTTGGCTATACATTATGTTGTGCAACATATACAATTAAGGATCGTGTAGGGGATTTTTTTGCTCACCACAAAAACAATTACCATATTACAATAGATCACATGATTGCGTCCTGGTAAATATTTGTTCTAAAACTGTATCGAACTATATTTACATATGTATTCATAAATCAGAAACTAATCCATAGATGTTTATTTTTTATTGAGTGAATAAAATTAGTATACCCTGTGGAAGGGGATAGAATTCTTGAAGGCGAAAAATTATAGATCACTTTGCAGTTGCCGGCTTTTGGGGCGTTGCTAAAAAATATTAGATAACAATCCTAACAAAAAATTCGCAAAGATTAAAGTGAGGAATAAATCTCCAACAGGGTGTGACCTGATGAGTATGCTATCGATATCGAAATGAAGGCAAAAACGCAGAATGAGCGTTCACATTGAACAAAGAGCTGCGCTTAGTTTATCTCCAAATTAAGGATTCTATGTCTATTTTGACGCATCTTTCTCGCGTTTTCGCCGTCACTTCTTTTCATATTAATTTAACGCAATAACGCAACCCTAGTGTAAGTAGGTTAATAATAATTAGTCAACAGTCTGGCAACGCTGCCTGCCTAAATGGTATTTAATGCAAATTGTAATTGCTGGCTGATTTAATTTGCATTTCCTTAATTGATGCACATCTCCGAATACGAATACGAATAGGATTGGGAATGCGAACGCGAATGCGAATGCATTTACATACATAGCAAGTAGACATACAGTGCGCGTACTTGTCTGAATGGCATGAGAGGTATGCGATTGAGATGGACTTGAACATTCCGTAGATATGTTTTTGTTGCTATACCCGGTACTCGAAGAGTAAATAGGGTATATTGTATTTGTGCGCATAACGGTTTTATGTAACACACAGAAGGAAACGTTTCCGACCCCATAAAATATATATATTCTTGATCAGCATCAATAGCCGAGTCGATTGAGCCATGTCCATCTGGCCGTCTGTCCGTCCGTCCGTCTTGTTTGTCGGCTAGTTCTCAGAGACTATAAGAGCTAGAGCCACCAAATTTTGGCTCCGGACTGCTGTATGCTCACACTGAAACCAGTGTATTTAAAAAATGAGCCTCGCCCCCGCAAAATGGCGAAAACCTCCCATATCTACAAATTTAAAATTTCCCATATCTTCGGCCTCTGCCTCTGCCGTCCCTCTGCTTCTGCCTCTGCCGACTTTTAAACCACCCCGTCCCGCAGCTTATATTTGTTTTTTTTTTGTGTGCGGGCGCTGCCTTTGCCACTGCCGCGAGTCTGCAGTGTGTGGGTCTAGGGAAGGGCGGCGAGCTAACCGAGCGTGTTGGTGTGAAAAGTGTTGTAGATGTAGATGAAAGATGAAGAAAATATTTAAAATTTGACAAAACACCGCTATGGTGCAGATGTAGTACTGAGTGCCGGGTATAAAACTTTTAACGAGTAAGAAGCGTCTCACACGTCCCTTCTCGTTTTTTTCATTATAACCGGTACTCGAAGAGTAAATAGGGTATTTGTGGGGAATAACGGTTGTATGTAACGCACAGAAGGAAACGTTTCCGAACCCATAAAGTATATATGTATATTCTTGATCAGCATCAATAGCCGGTCGATTGAGCCATGTCTGGGATCTTAAAGACTAGACTTTTGTATGCTCACACTGTTACAAGTGTATTTCTACAAATCTACAATTTTGAAGATACTTGAAAACTAACATTCCGTAGGGAATGATCATATCTTTCAGATCACCAAATTGGGATCCGATTGGACCATTATTATAGCCACAATAAAGAAATTAATTTGCAGTAGCTAAACCCACCCTGTCGCGCAGCTTTTGTTGTTTTTTTCACATTCTCTCATTCACACTCTGCTTCGCGCAGTGTGCGGCAGCTGCCTCTGCCATGACTCTCCAGTGTTTGGCTCTAGGGAAGGGGGGCGAGCTAAAGGAGCGTGTTGGCGTGAGAAGTGTTGCAGATGTAGATGACAGATGAAGAACAAATTTAAATTTGCGAAATAACCGCTAGGGTACAGATGTGGTACTGAGTGCCGGGTATAAAAGTTGCGACGCGTAAGAAGCGTCTCACACGTCCCTTCTCGTTGTTGTATGTGTTTAATGGTTGTGGAAGTGAGTGACTGGTGGAATGACTGATCGCTGACGGCTAACACGTGCCGATGGCTCATGGCTCATTGCTGGGGTCTTAGTCACATTTTGGCCTAAACCATAAGGGAAAACAGCGAATAGCAAAACCCATTGATAACTAGAGCAGTGCCGGAGCACTTACTGACTCATGGACAGAGAAAGGAACGAACCACCCAATAGCCACCCACTGCGTCCCAAAAACGTCTCTCTCTGCATCTCCCTCTCTTTGCTTATGTTTCTGTTCTTGTGATTTTCCGCTTGATCTCTCTGCTACTTGCGCCTGTCTGTCGTCTGTTGTCTGGTGTGCCTTGCCGTTCTTTTGTGCATCGCCTGATGTCATCGGCCAGCAATGCCGTTGGATCGTTGGATCCGCTGAAATCGTTCTTCTTATCTCGTTCTCCAATTAAATTGGCATGGCCCCTGTCTGTCCCCTGATCTCTTTATTGCTCTTCCTCGCTGGCTGGATCTCTCTTTGTTTGCGCTTGTGATTGTTTGCTTTACCGTTAATTTTGCCGCCTTTAAACTTAGAACTTTGTTGTGGGATTTGGATTTGGTGTTTGCTTTTTGGGTGGAGATTGCAATTGTAACATTTTTCGACGATTATGCGGTTTATTATTTATTTATTTTGTTTTATTTTTATTTTATAAAATTGGAATTTTATCGTATAATAAATAACACCTTCACTTGATTCATATATTCACATGGTTATGGTTGGTGGTTACTCTCCTTTGTCCTGGTATACCCTCTCGATACCCCGCACTCGATCGCTCACAGTTGGGTGGTAAGACCACTTCGTCTCGACTCATTCTTTCTTTCGAGCAAACACGCTTGTCCCCCACACATGGCATTGAAATACCACAAAAAATGGTACAAAAAAAATATACAAAAAAATAATAATTATGATGTTATTGTAGATATGTACAATAATAATGATGGCTCCACCTTGTTGGAGTGTGGGGAGGGAGTGGGAGGGGATGGTGGTGGGGGTCTATACATAGTTGCAGTTATAACCATTTATCCATTGGTTACTCCTGGTCGCCGTCGCTGGTGGTGGTCACCGTTTTCTGCTGCGTGCTCGTTGTGGTGGTGCGTGTGAGGGTAAACACTCCGGTGGTGCCCACATCATCCATGGGCTGAGCAATGATGGTCGATGTGGTGCTCTGTGGTTGGGAGAGGGAGAGAGGCGTTGTGATCTCTGTGTTGTCTCTCCTTCGACAGAAAATAACTTACGCCATTTTTGGTCTCCTCGGGACTCCAGGAGCGCTTATCATCCAAATCCTTTGAGCAACAGCTTCCCATTTTTAGTTGCGGTATTGTGGAAATATTGTGGAATGTTGGGGCTTCAGCTGCTGGGTGGGTGGCTGGGTGGCTTTCGGATTCTGTTTCTGTTTGTTTTTTGCTGCTGTTTTAACTTCGCACGTCTGTCATCGAATGCCGTGCGGTGCCGTGCTGTTCCGTTCCGTTTGCCGGTGTTCGTTCACTTGCTAGGCCCCCACGGGGCCCCAACCCATCGACAGCGTCGCTGCCAGCAATGACAGCGACCGAGGCAGAGAGTACAAACAGAGGCGTCATAGCTCCATATCAATTCTAGAAATATGGCTCAGTGCTCCGCTTGTATTCCGTATTGAGAGGAATACAATGGGGAATTCGTATATGTAAAAAGGTTTATATATAAATATAGCTATATTCTTTATACATACATATGTATATTGTAGATACGAATAAATGTACTCCCCCTCCACCGTACCATTCTCCTCCCAAATACAGAATACAGTCATCGTCTTTATTTGCAAAAGCCTTTGCAATATTTCAGCCTGTCCGTCGGTCTGTCAGTGCTTAGCCTTGTGTGGCCTCTTAACGGTTAACATTCCGATAGGTCAGGTGCGCGCCAACAACAGACAACCGATAGCCAGGGTTGCTAATGATGAATGGACATTCCAGCCGGAAAACTCACGATCCCCATATCACATGGGAAAAACCTATGCAATTCTAGGGCAATTCACAGAATACAATTTGGATCCTATGGCCCATCCAATGTGGCTAGTCCTACAAAAACCTATAAACACTTTTTAAGAGGGGTATGGCCTGGATAGCCGGCATGCCAGTGGAGTATAATCGTAAAAGAGACGCAAAAATAATCATAACTAATGCCCCGTAATAAATAAATTTATCGCACTAATGCGCAATGAATGAGTGGCTGGGTTGGGTGGGTGGTTGTGCGGCGAGGATTGTAGACCTACATATCTTCTTTTTTATGATACCTAGGAATATACCAAGGAATATGGTGCCCGATTATTATTTGCATGAGGTGACGGTGACGTGAGGAGGTCTCATCTTTGTTTGTTGTTTGACTGTACTCGAAACACGATCATATAAATTGAATTACTCTCAACTGATTCAACTGATTCTTGGTCTGCGAGTACGTGTGTGTGTGTGCTTATACGTTGTGTATCACAAAGCACCGATTAGATACTGCGAATATAATAATAGCCGAGTGACCGATATTGATAACTGTCACACAATGCCCTGACCTTCAGAGTCAGAGCCACAGTATCCTACCCCTCAGCACTTCCACTTCTACTTCGAACTCCATAACTCGAAACAGTAAATGTTTCCTCTTCTGCACTTGCGTTCCGTCTCTACACACAGAGAAAAAAAATGCCTGAGATTGGAAATCTCAGAAAGTGAGAAATGAATATGAAAATATTAGTTTTAAATATTACAAACTATTTAAAACAATAAATGTGTGTGTGTTAATATAAATATATATAAATATTCTTCTTGATTTCTCTGAGTGCAACTCTGAGTGTTCTGCTGCTGGTTTCGGTGTGCGTTCGTATGTGTTTGTCATACACTCGTCATAATCATAATTAAATCAGCTATGGATAGAGAGAAAAACAGAAGATTAAAATAGACACTGAGAGAGATAGAGACACTAGAGTTGCTAGCGATAAGCCCCAAAAACTAATTAAACGGCTAGCCAGATATTCGGAAATGCAATGCAAATATCTACATACATACATATGTACATGTGTATGTACATAGATCTGTACAAATGTATGCAAGAAGGTAAATGGGTTGAAATCCATTCTAATTATGTGAACAATGTGCAATGGGAAGTGGAGTACCGGTACTGTACCCCCTGGCAATTATCAATAATAAACGAGAAGGGACGTGTGAGACGCTTCTTACGCGTCACAACTTTTATACCCGGCACTCAGGATTACATCTAGATGTAGAAGACATCGCCAACCACTAGATATCGTTCACATTACAGAACACGTAGTAAAAGCCTGCTAAATAAAATGCATCAAACAAATTGGATCAGTTAATATTTTCCAATTTATGAGATATTTAAAACAGCAATAAAATTGGTACATTCTTGGACCGATAGGTAGGTTTCACAGCAAATTTTTCGAAAGTGGCGCCATCTATGAAAATTTCTTGTACGCAACTTTGATGGTCCAATGGTCTGCACATTCTGTGCAATAATGACCGATAGGTTTCAAAGCAAATATTTCGAAAGTGGCGCCATCTAGAGTTGAATACCGAGTCTTGGTTAAAAGTCGGAAGAGTCAACGCCAGGGGGAGGGCGTGTGAATGAGAGAATGTAAAAAGAGCAACAAAAGCTGCGGGACAGCGTGGGTTTGGCCACTGCAAAATTAATTTCTTCATTTTGGCTATAATAATTTAGTTATCTTTTTATCTTCAAAATTGTAGATTTGGGAGGTTTTAGCCCTTTTGCCGCCCCCGCAAAGGGGGCGTGGCTCATTTTTGAAATACACTTGTAACAGTGTGAGCATACAGAAGTCTGGATGCAAAATTTGGTGGCTCAAGCTTTTATGGTCTCTGAGATCCAGGCGCTCAACAAGACGGACGGACAGACAGACATGGCTCAATCGACTCGTCTGTTGATGCTGATCAAGAATATATATACTTTATGGGGTCGGAAACGTTTCCTTCTGTGTGTTACATACATTCACTTTGTGCACAAATACAATATACCCTATTTACTCTTCGAGTACCGGGTATAAAAAAAAGAGATCACACTTTATCTATAGATTGGGTGCGTTCACCAGGAAATTTTGATACATGTGCAGTGATGAATATTCTACGATGATATGATGAGTGATATAATATTAGGGAATCTATCATCGGCATTCACTAGAACTAAACAAATGATGATCACAGACTATTTCATTCGATTTGCTGCTATTTTCTGAAGATAGTTCATATTATTCTGTATGCCTCAGCTATGGCAGAGCGTAAAACTCGGTATTATAGCTTCCAATGATGCTCCACATGCCCACTTAGGGGTAGGGTATACTACCCATAAGTAGAGCAAAAGTAGAACACTTTTGTGGGGTATAGTCATACGAAGAGATGACACGATTTCGGTCGCTATCTCTAGTCTATAACGAGTCCATCCTGACGCGCTTCCGTATCTTTATGTGTACAATGTCTATATCTCTCTCTCTCTCTCTCTTTGCAGATACACAATGGACAGATGTACGAGAAGGATGTACTATTGCGTTCTCTATTGGCGGCGCTATCTCCGCACTCCTTTTCCGCCCAGTTCTGGCGAGCCGAACGTGACAGCGTCTTCTTCTATGTGGACGACTTTGAGGTGGCCGAGCGTATCCAACAGCTGGGAAAGCACGCAACGCTGCCCGATGGCTTTCGCCTGTCGCCGCGCGTGCGCAACGGCATTCCACTGGTGACCGTCGACGATTCCCTCAAGGAGCGCATGAAGCAGGTCATGGCAAAGCGTTACAATGCCCAGACCAAGGCCCTGGACATGTCGCGCTTTTATGCCGATCCCGATATAAAGCCGGTGTTCTGCCCCCTGTTTCGGGCCAATGTAATGGGTGTCGCTCTCGATATCATGTGCGACAATATACCCGATCTAGAGGCCCTCAATCTAAATGATAACAATCTGGTGTCCATGGAGGCATTCAGACGTGTCGATAAGCGCCTGCCGCACCTCAAAATACTCTACTTGGGTGACAATAAGGTGAGAGATCATCAATTCCTTCTAATGGCCATGGATTATCGAGTAATCCTGTCTCTTTCTCGCAGCTCCCTTCGCTGGCGCATCTTTTGGTGTTTCGTAATCTGCCCATTGTTGAGTTGTTGCTGCGTAACAATCCGTGCCGCTCGCGCTACAAGGACTCGCAGCATTTTGTCAGGTATACTATGGTGTGATTTGTTTGGCTTTTTCTAGAGGATGTCGCTGTCGCTCGTGTCCTCGTGTGCCCGTGCAGTCGACGTGGGAGACACCTCGTCGAGAGTCATTACACACAGGAATAAGATTTGCATTTCCATTTCCACTTTTTGAGTTGTCTCCCATTCCACCTAGAATCTACACTAGGCTGCTGCACTCTGCTCTAGAAATAGCTGGAGACCGTCCCCAACCGTGTGCAGATTCATCCCCCTCTACGTGTCCACACTTTGGTCGTAGATCATTCTATAATGATCATTTGACTGGGCAAATGTATTCGTCTGTGGCAAGGATTCCACTGTTACTCATCGGCTGTTGTCTGTCGCAAAGCAAAGACAGACCCCAAAGCAGAACAGGGCTTTCAGGCAAAGCAAAAAGAATAAATAAAAATAAAAGCAAGAAAAAATAAAACAAAAGAAAAGAAAAATAATGTAAAACCCATTGTCAAGTTTCAAACAAAAGCAGAAGAAAGCACACACAGGTTTGATGCAGAGGTTTGATACAGGACTGAACATGAACCTGACCGTTGGACAGACACGCACACGGACACACGACAACGCGCTGTTGTGGGGCTCCACACACGCATGAGTCCACTGTGTGGGCAACGTCCCACATGCAACATATTTTGGTATGAAATGAAACATCATAACGGCACATATTAGTAGCCAAAACCACTTAACCACAATTTAACACCAATCCACACGCCGCATACCCCGTCTCAGAACCGCGCGCACACACACACACAGGCACGCAGTCGAAAGCCCACATGTTTGCGCATGTTGGAGATGCGCTGCTCTGTGCTGTTTTGTTGTTGCTGTTGTGTTGTCTTCTGTGGGGTGGCGGTGGTGAAAGCGTCGTCGGCGGTGGCGGTGTGGCTTCGTAGGGACAAGGAGAAATTGGCGTCAACACGCCAATTGGTGCGGGCGAGGGCGGGTTCAGCAACACACATTTTGCTAAATTGTTTGTATGGCTCCTGAGCGCATGAGTTGCCTGTGGAGTGGACGTGTGTGTGTGTGTTTTGCGAGCTGCAACAGCAGAGCGTCTACCGATCTACGCTCTTCGAACCGAACGTACGAGACGAAACCGCATCGAACCTAACCTCAGCCGTTTGATGTGATGCAGCAGGCAGCTTTCCTGCGTGCCAGCTGCAGGCAAGCATTTTTCGTTTGTTTGGGATTTGATGTTAAAAAAAAATAATTAAAAATAAATAAAAGAAAAGAAAAAAGGAAGAAAAAAATATTACAAAAAAAGTATAAACTATAAAAAAGATGCTCAAGGGCACAGTGCAATGCTCGAGGGTCCTTTTCCGCTGCTGCTTAAATTTTTTGGGTTGAACCTTTTGCAAAATATCAGATAAAATGATACAGAATCCAAGTGCATTTGCCCACTCAAACAAAAGCTCCTGCAATAAGTTGAGCAATTCGTCGATTCGTTATCGGGTAGTTTTCGCAGCTAGAGGTGGGAGGATCTGCCGAAGGCTGAAGACCAGACCAGGCCTAGGTCCATCTCCAGCTTTGAGCAGTGTGAAACTGCCTATAGAGTAAAATGTTATATATTTCATTTTGTAATATTGTTCACATCACATCGTCACAATGCTAATGCCGAACCACAAACGGCGCCTATCCCAATCAAACTATTTACAGCGAAGTACGACGCAAGTTCCCCAAGCTGGCCAAACTGGTACGAATAACTAATATACTATCTAACAGATAATATCTAAGTCCCCCCTCTCTGTTCACATGGGTGCATAAATAATAGGATGGGGAATCACTGGGACCGGTGGTTGCCTTCGATTTGGCCGGAGCCGGAACAATGCCAACGACGCAGGCCTCATTTCTGTGCGATAATGGCGGTGCCGATGTGGTGCGCCAATTCCTTAATCAATACTTTAACATATTCGATATGGAGAGCCGTCAGTCCCTGCTGGATGCATATCACGAGCATGCCATGCTCTCCATCACAATGCCAAATGCAGGCCATGCGGGCAGGTAATGAAAATATCAAACAAATTTCCAAAATATCAAACAAGTTTCCAAAATCTCAAATTGCATTTCCCCCCATCTGTTTTGTCTTTTGTTTGCTCTGCAGATTGAACAATTTTTGGAAGTTTAATCGAAACTTTCGCCGCATAGTGAACCATGAACGCGATGACCATCGCACGAGGTTGCTCAAGAACGGCCGACTGGCCTGTGTGGCAACCCTAAATGAATGGCCACGTACGCTGCACGAGCGTCGCACCTTTACCGTCGATCTAACCATTTACAACGTAATTATAATGCCTGCCATCCATCCAGCCATTCCATAACACCATTGTGCTCCTATTTTCAGCCCCAAATGATTGTGTTCACTGTGACGGGTTTGTTCAAGGAGCTGAACGGCGAAGACGATAGACCGTCCACCTCGAACGCCTACGAGCTGCGCCACTTTATGCGCACGTTTGTGGTGGTGCCACAGAACTCCGGCTTCTGCATACGCAACGAGACGATATTCATAACGGCCGCCACGAATGAGCAGGTGCGCGAGTTTAAGCGTTCGCAGCATCAGCCAGCTCCCGGCGGTGCCACAACTGCTGCTGGCGGCGGCACCACAGGCTCGAGAATGGCAACTGCACCCGCATCCGCGCTACAGAATCGTTTGGGGTCGGTGGGTGGCGGGGCCACGGCCACAGTTGCAATCTTACCAGAAGTTGGCTCATTGTCCCTGAATGCTCTGAGCAGCCCCACCGGGGTGTCCCAGCCTCAGCGACCAACCGCCTTTGCCAGCACCGGATCAGCGACAGATGAAGCAACCAAAATACAAATGGTTCAGGCCATGAGTTCACAGAGTCAAATGAATCTAGAATGGAGTAAGAAGTAAGTAGAAGGAGGTGGAGCAGGCGCAGTAGGAGGAGCATGAGGTAAATAATTCTAATATATTTCTGTCTCTGTGCAGGTGTCTGGAGGAGACGAATTGGGACTATAACCACGCTGGATTTGTGTTTGAGAAACTCTTCAAGGAGAACAAAATACCGCCAGAGGCCTTTATCAAATAGATTTGCTTCATTTGGTCCCAGCAATAAAAACAAACAGTGGCTGGCGCAGTTGCAACAGTGGTGGTTGGAGTGGTGACAGCAATGAACACACACAAACAGACCAAACACGACCAAACCCCTTGCAAATGTATATGCCTCGAACACACACAAACACATCCTACACATACACTATACGCACACAAACTGCACCTCCGTCTGCGCCCCACAGAGCCCGCTGCTTTGTTTTGTATATTAATATACATAAATCTATATATAAATATATATAGCTGGATATTCGAATATATTATTATTTGAAATGAGCCAGCAGCG